TTGTAGGAGACAAGGAAGGAAGGAAGGAGGGAAAGAAAGAAAGGAAAGAGAAAGAAAGGAAGGAGGGAGGGAAAGAAAGATAGAAATAATGGAAAGGAGGGAAAGAAAGAAAGGAAGGAAGGAAAAAAAGAGAGAGGGAAAGAAAGAAGGAAGGAGGAAAACAGGAGAAAGGAAGGAGGGAAAAAAAAGGAAGGAGAGAAAGAAAGAAAGGAAGGAAGGAAAGAAAGGAAGGAGGGAATGAAAGGAAGGAAGGAATAAGAGAGGGAAAGAAAGAAGGCTCCTCCGTTGCATCAGAACCAGGTTCCTTCACTGCCCCAGAACCAGGTCCCTTTGTTGCAGTAGAGCAGGTCCCCTTCATTCCCTCACAATAGGTCCCCTTTGTTGCTCCAAAGCCAGACTCTGTCGCCCCAGAACTGGGCCCTTTATCACCCAAGAACCAGGCCCTTTCATTGCCCTTAAACAAGGCCCCTTCATCACCACAGGAACAGGCCTCTTCATAACTCCAGAACTGGCCTCTTCTTCACCCCAGAACTAGCCTATTTGCCTCCCCAGAACCAGCTCCTTCATTGCTCTAAAACTGGGCCCTTTCTTCACCCCATAACTGGGCCCTTTCATTGCTCCAGAACAGGGCCCCTTCATTGTTTCAGAACAGGGCCCCGTTATTGCCCCAGAACAGGGCCCCTTTATTGCCCTAGATCAGGTCCCCTTCATTGCCACACAACCAGGCCCCCTCATCACTCCAGAGCCAGACTCTTTGTCGCCACAGAACAAAGAGTCCAAGCTCCTTCATCACCTGAGAACCAGGCCCTTTCACTGCCCTTAAACAAGGCCCCTTCATCACCACAGGATTGGGCCTCTTTGTCACCCCAGAATCGTCCCTTTCTTCACCCCCAGAACAGGCCCATCCAACGCCTCCGGAACCGGCCACTTTCTGTCCCCAGAACCAGTCCCTTCATCACCCTAGAGCTGGCCCTTTCTTTGCTCTAGAACTGGGCCACTTCATCGCCCCAGAACTTACCCCTTAATTGTCACAGAACTGAAACTACTCATCACCACTGAACTGGGCCCATTTGTTATGCTAGAATGAACCCCTTTGTCGCCCCCAGGACCGGCTCCTTCATTGCCCAAGAACCCAGAGCATAGCCCCTTAATCACCATTGTACATATCCCCTTCCTCACCCCCTTCTGAGATGATTGTGTGCAATAGAGACATGGACGCTGTACGTGACAGCCATCTTGTTAGGCCTCAGCCATTTTGTCTCTCCTCTCCTCCCTCTTGAAATGGAATTTATAGCTGTAAGCTGAACAGACTTCAAAAGGGCCTCTTATCTTAAATAAAACACAGACGTAGATGAAGCTCTCTAATTAGTCTGGTGCAGGAGGTCTGCTTTGAAAACCATTTTCCTCTGCCAGATCGTAAAACAATAACTCAGTCAGTCATGACCTGTTAGACCATTAGGGCTAGAGCGTGCCAAAAAATGTCCATTCCACATGTAACAATTTCACATACAATTCATAAAGTTCAGCAGGAACTGGGCACATTAATATTAGGTATATATTTGAATAGGTCATATTAATGTGAGTCAAACAAGGCCATACTTGACTATATTGGCACCTAGGAGAGAGAAGAAAGCAGTCTCTTCCCTCCTGGGTGACAAGGGTATGCTGTGTTTGGTATCCTGGCTTTGAAATATAATTCTAAATATTATTCTGCCAGTTGCTAGAATACCACTTGTACATACTGGAAGTTATTAACCATTTGCCGCCCGCCCTATGGCTGAATGGCGGGCGGCAAATGTCATCAGCGTTATGAGTGGACGCCATATGGCGTCTTCCCGCACATGCGCAGATTGCGCTCCTACAGAGCGGCACAGTGGCGCGATCTGTCACCGGCCGTGTACCTCGGACACGGCCGATGACAGATCTGAGTATCGGCCCCATTGCCGGTACCATATAACCTGCTGTGACTAATCACAGCAGGTCACATGACAGTTGTATACAATGGATGGCTTCATTCATACCATCCATTGTATACTACTGCCTAGCTGTGAATGGTCACAGCTAATCACATGCACATGTCATGTGATTAGCTGTGGCCAAATTACAGCTAACCACAAAAAAAAAAAAAAACCCTGAATGAATCGATGTCATTCAGGTAAATGCTTGCTTATAGCAAAGTAATTCTTTGCTATAAGCAAATTGTGTAAAAAAAAAAAAAAATACTGATCACTTCCCCAAAGTAGTACAATGTTACTATGGTAACATTGTACTACTTTGTTCATAGTGAAATATGAAAAATAAATCTTAAAAAAAATTTAATAAAAAATAAAAAAAATATATAATTTTTTTTTTCATACTGTCACCAGTTTTTGGTCTTTTTTTGTTAATTTAGCAAAAAATAAAAACCCCAGTGGTGATTAAATACCACCAAAAGAAAGCTCTAGTTGTGTGAAGAAAATGATAAAATTTTAGTTTGGGTACAATGTTGTATGACCGTGCAATTGTCATTCAAAGTGTGAGAGCGCTGAAACCTGAAAACTGACCTGGGCAGGAAGGTGTAAAATTGCCCGGTATTGAATTGGTTAATATTAGTATGAAACTACAGTTGGGACTTGGTCATAACCAAAGGTCATAACAAAAGACTGACAGGTCTGGAGAAGAGAGCTCTCGTTTAACATCAATCAGGAAACATCTAACGGACTTGAGAGCCAAGGCAACCTTTTTGTTCGGACAATTGGACTCTACTAAAACCAAGGACATTGCACGCATTCTGCCTTCTGAACTCCTTTCTTTTATTTCTATGTTGTGTTATTGTTCTCTTTATATCTTTGTAACATCTTTTTCTGTAAATATTTTAATTGCACCATTTTTAGTAATAAATTCTATTTTGAAAAGTGTTGAAACTGTCTCTAAAGCTTTTAATGCAAACTAAAGAATCCCTGTCTCTTGAAGAGTGCTACTGTATGTAATAATCCTCTGAATATATCTGTCTGTGGTGACAGTGTGTGTTACAGATGCTTATGCTAATATCATAGTGTTATTGTTAGGATTTGTGAGTTTCTTCCTTCTCTGTAAAAAGGTGGTGATGGCAGTGTGAAGGGTTAATTGCGTAATTAACATGACCCAGTAAACATTGATCTCAGGCTGCTGGCACATAAGTATCTCAGGCTTCCTTGCCACAGAACCAGGACCCTTTGTCACCTCCAGAACCGGGTCCATTCCTTGCCCCACAACTGGTCCCTTCATAGCCCCAGAACAGGGCCCTTTCAACGTCTCTAAACCGGACCCATTCATCCCAGAACCAAGCCCCTTCCTTGCCCAAGAACAGGGCCCCATCCTCGCCCCAGAAAAGGGCCTCTTCTTTGCCCTGTAACCGGGCCCATTCCTCACCCCAGAACAGGGCTTCTTCCTTGCCACATAACCAGACCCCTACCTTGCCCCGTAACTGGGCCCCTTGCTCACCCTGTAACCGGGCCCATTTTTCATCCCAGAACAGGGCTTCTTCTTGCCCCAGAATCGGGCTTCTTTCTTGCCCAGAAATGGGCCCCTTACTTACCCCAGAACAGGGCTTCTTCTTTGCCCCAGAACCAGGCTCCTTCCTCGCTTCATGTGAAATGGCAGAGGTAGTGTGAGAAACAAATTAAAATGTAGGTTTTATAAATTCAGTAGGGGATGATGCAGCCAGCCCTAAGGACTTGAAGGGTGGGGGGGTGTGTTGAGGGTGATCAGGATGCTCAGACTACGCCATTTTTGTGGATGGGGCCCAGCACATCCATTTACCAGGACCACAGGGGAACTGATGCTTCCTCCAGTGAATGAACCAGCAAGGGATATGTATTACTTCATTTCCTGGTCTGCACTGTCATTCCCCAGGAGCACTGGCTGGGGAAGCAGTGTTAATGGAGCACAATGAACCCCTGATATCTCCAATAAAAGAACCTCTCACAGCCTATATGCTATCACATAGGGCGCTTGGTACTCTATGCAATAAATTTAGATTTAAAAAATGTAAAAAAATCTTTGTGACCAATTGAAAAAATGCATGTATTGAGGAACCTATGTATGAAAATGGTGCTGTGCATGCCGAATGATAAAAGAGTACAGCTCCCAGAAACCCTCTGCATCCCTGCCTGCTGAGCACATCGCATCATATGACTGATACAGCCGATGCAGGAATATTTCTAATATACATTGGCTTCTGTCACTCTGCTGCTGCTGGTGGTGCCATGGAAGTGCTCAAGCAAATTTTATGGGTGCTACAGCATAAATATTCATCCATCTGCACTGAGGTTGAGTTGAAGTTCCTCTTTAAAGAACCTCTGTAGTTAGACCATTCATTTCAACAATATTCCTATAAGATTACAGGCATGTTTGATGTATTTTGTTATTTATCTGTAACATCCAAAAGCCCTGGGACTTCTATGTGCTGTCATCTTGGATGCGATGCCAGCAGCCCCAGCAGACTTAGAGCTGTCACGCAAGTGATACTATATAGCAGTGTTTCTCAACCTTTTTTCAGTCAAGGCACCCTTTAAAATTGACAATCTCAAGGCACCCTTTAAAATTATGGACAGCCTCAAGGCACCCCATTCTAAAATGTAGAAAAATATTCTAATAGTTTTACATAATGCATCAACATTCAAACACGTAGAACACCAACGTTAGAGGTGATGTATTCTTCCAAATCAAATATTCTTCCATCACTCAGCTAATGTGACCCCAGCGCTGACGTGGAGGGGCAGGGGAGGGGCAAACAAGGATAATGTGACCGACATCCTCCTTATCAGCTGATAATGTCATTGATTGTTGGGATGCTGGCGGCTAGAAGGTCATAATGGTGCATAATGAAACCAGTGGCTTTGTGTAACTAAAATACAGAATTGATTCACCTGCTGGCTTGTATACAATTTTTGGGCAATTTTTAGGCATTTTGCCAAGGCATCACTGAAGAAACTTCAAGGCACCCCAGGGTACCTGGGCACCCTGGTTGAAAAAGGCTGCTATATACACTATATTGCCAAAAGTATTGGGACACCCCTCCAAATCATTGGATCCAGGTGTTCCAATCACCTCCATGGCCACAAGTGTATAAAATCAAGCACCTAGGCATGCAGAGTGCTTCTATAAACATTTGTGAAAGAATGGGTCGCTCTCAGGAGCTCAGTGAATTCAAGCGTGGTACCGTGATAGGTTGCCACCTGTGCAATAAGTCCATCCATGAAATAAATATTCCACTGTCAACTGTTAGTGGTAATTTAACAAAGTGGAAGCAACTGGGAACAACAGCAATGTAAATGACAGAGCGGGGTCAGCACATGCTGAAACGCACAGTGTACAGAAGTACTGCCTGCAGAATCAATAGCTAAAGACCTCCAAACTTTGTGTGGCCTTCAGATTAGCACAACAACAGTGGGTAGAGACTGGAATGGAATGGGTTTCCATGACTGAGCAACTGCATCCAAGCTTTACATCACCAAGTGCAGCACCACCACTGGACTCTAGAGCAGTGGAGACTTGTTCTCTGGAGTAACGAATCACGCTTCTCTGTCTGGCAATTGGATGGATGTGTCTGGGTTTGGTGGTTGCCAGGAGAACGATACTTGCCTGACTGCATTGTGCCAAGTGTAAAGTTTGGTGGAGGGGGGATTATGGTGTGGGCATGTTCAAGGATTGGGCTTGGCCCCTTAGTTCCAGTGAATGCCTCTCTTAAGGCGTCAGCATACCAAGACATTTTGGACAATTTCATGCTCCCAACTTTGTGGAAACAGTTTGGGGATGGCCCCTTCCCAATCAAACATGACACCAATGCACAAATCAAGGTCCATAAAGACATGGATGAGCGAGTTCGGGGTGGAGGAACTTGACTGGCCTCCACAGAGTCCTGAACTCAACCCGATAGGACACCTTTGGGATGAATTAGAGCAGAGACTGCAACCCAGGCCTTCTTGTCTGACATCAGTGTCTGATCTCACAAATGTGCTTCTGGAAGAATGGACAAACATCCCCATAGACACACTCCTAAACGTTGTGGACAGCCTTCCCAGAAGAGTTGAAGCTGTTATAGCTGCAAAGGGTGGGCCAACTCAATATTGAACCCTAAGGACGAAAACTGCGATGCCATTACAGTTCATGTAAAGGCAGGCGTCCCAATACTTTTGGTAAAATAGTATACAGTTGCAAGAAAAAGTATGTGAACCCCTTGGGATTACGTGGAGTTTTGCATGAATTGGGCATAAAATGTGCTCTGAACGTCATCTAAGTCACAACAATAGAAGAACACAGTCTGCTGAACATAATACTACACAAACATTAGATGTTGCCATGGTTTAATTGCACATAACATGTAAACATTCACAGTGCAGGGAGGAAAAAGTATGTGAACCTTTGGACTTAATAACTGGTTGACCCTCCTTTGGCAGCAATAACTTCAACCAAACGTTTCCTGTAGTTGCAGATTAGACCTGCACAGCAATCTGGAGTCATTTTGGACCACTCCTCTTCACAAAACTGTTTCAGTGTAGCAATATTCTTGGGATGTCTGGTGTGAATCGCTCTCTTAAGGTCATGCCACAGCATTTCAATCGGGTTGAGGTCAGGACTCTGACTGGGCCACTCCAGAAGGCGTATTCTGTGCTGTTTCAGCCATTGTTTTGTTGAATGACTTGTATGCTTTGGGTCATTGTCCTGTTGCATCACCCATCCTCTGCGGAGCTTCAGTTGGTGGACAGATGGTCGTACATTTTCCTGCAAAATGTGTTGATAAACTCTGGAATTCATTTTCCCATCAATGACAACAATCCATCCAGGCCCTGAGGCAGCAAAGCACCCCCAAACCATGATGCTCCCTCCGCCATGTTTTACAGTGGGGATGAGGTTTTGATGTTGGTGTGCTGTGCCTTTTTTTCTCCACACATAGTGTTGTGCGTTCTTCCCAAACAACTCAATCTTGGTTTCATCTGTCCACAGTATATTTTGCCAGTAGTGCTGTGGAACATCCAGGTGCTCTTTTGCAAACTTCAAACGTGCTGCAATATTCTTTTTGGACAGCAATGGCTTCCTCCGTGGTGTCCTCCCATGTACTCCATTCTTGTTTAATGTTTTCCTTATTGTAGATGTGTCCACAAAAATGTTAGCATGTGCCAGAGATTTCTGTAGGTCTTTAGCTGACACTCTGGGATTCTTCTTTACCTCATGCAGCATTCTGCGCTGTGCTCTTGCAGTCATTTTTACAGGACGACCAAGCCTAGGGAGAGTAGCAACAGTGCTAAACTTTCTCCATTTGTAGACAGTCTGTCTTATCGTGGACACATGAACATCAAGGCTTTTGGAGATACTTTTGTAACCCTTTCCAGCTTCATACAAGTCAACAATTCTTGATCGTAGGTCTTCTGAGAGCTCTTTTTTCTGCGAGGCATGGTTCACATCAGACAGTGCTTCTTGAAACCAGTAAACCCAAAACAGGTGTGTGTTTTTTAAGGGCAGGACAGCTGTCAGCAACATATCCAATATCATCACACTGATTGGAGTCAAGGTTGGCTCACTCCTGGCTCCAATTAGCTCTGAGAGAAGTCATTAAGCTAGGGCCTCACATACTTTTTCCTTCCTGCACTGTGAATGTTTACATGTTATGTGCAATTAAACCATGGCAACATCTAATGTTTGTGTTGTATTATGTTCAGCAGACTGTGTTCTTCTATTGTTGTGACTTAGATGACGTTCAGAGCACATTTTTATGCCCAATTCATGCAAAACTCCACGTAATCCCAAGGGGTTCACATACTTTTTCTTGCAACTGTATATGTTTTTTTTACTAACACATGTCAAAGTTGCAAAGTTGTGCTTAGGTATTAGGAATTGTTTTACCCTTAGGCATGAGGGGGTTAAAGTACAAAGTACTTAAAGCCCAAATATGTTTTTTTTTAAGCAGAACTCCGGGAAAATTATTTTTTTCCCATGAAGTGGGGCTGTGCTCGCATTGAATGGATTTACTGCTCATTTTGTCCAGGGGTAAACACAGAACCTATACTCACCCGATCCTTCAGAAAATGGCACTCCCCCATGTCCAGCGATGGACTGTTAATGCCACCTTCATGTCCAGAGCCGGTCTATGGGTGTGATGACTTCAGAAGCAGTCCACGGCATAAGACCGCTAGACCATGGGGGGGATTGTGCTGGGAGGTTCAACAGATTAGGTGAGTATATCTCGGCTCTCTAATACCCAAGACAAAAACGAGCTGTTAACCCATGCAGTGTTGGCACAGCCCACTGCATGGGGGAAAAAAAATCCCAGAGTTCTGCTTTAAGGCTCCCTCAGAAGGTTAAAAAGAAAAGCAGCTCAGGATGCATTACTCACCTGTTCTGTGGCGCTGTCAACATTAGATGCTCTCAGTCTGCATAACACCCAGAATGATTCAACTTGACACTGAGGACATGTGGGGCATCATGAATCCCACCCCTGAGGGGACATCACCACATGCCCTGCACTCATAGCACAATGATGCAGACAGCATTGGTGAAGTCATCACATCAGCTCCATTGTCTGCATAATTGAGGACATCCAGAGCCAGAGATGAGATAAAAAGGGCCATGTGAGTCACATGTCCATTCTTAGGACTTTTGAAAAAGGTAAATATGAAACAAAATAGGGCATAAAATACATTGCAGTAAGGTGAAATACAAGGGGGGAAGGGCCCTAGGGGAGAGACCAAACCTGGACTTCACCATAAAAATACATAGTGACAACTTCTGCATTATAACAAAGCTTTTACTGCCACCTGAAAGACATGAGCATATGATATCCAGTTATCTAGATGTACCCATATTAGGTACAACTGTGAGCTCCCCACCTTCGACTCCAAGTGACAACAGTGCCAGCTTATAGCAATAACAGAAAATATCTACAACACCATCTATGAAATGTCTGGAGGATGAGCTATCTACTGAATAGGTTGTCTTATCACAGCTTTGCCACTTACCGACAGTTACATGTTTAAATGGAAATATTGTTTTTCCAAACTGGGTGGTCAATGGGAATTCAGGAAGCTGCATCAAACTTTCCATTTCAGATTCCTCTTGTACACCAAGTGACAGGAAATATACAGTAACATGTGGTACCCGTTTCCTTTGCAGCATCACGCTGCCATCAAATGTTACTGTAACAAGGTGGCTTTAACAAGATACAGGACATACTACTACATTACACATTTCACCTAAAAGACGGTTATACCTAAAAACACGATTGAAAAATAACATAATAATGTGAAACAGATATGCAGCTGGCAATAGAATAAATTTTGTTTCCTTATCTCTAGGATTGGAGCAGAGCATTTAAATAGTACATCTACAATGTTTATTTTAGTGCCGTGACAGGCAGAACATATACATGTCATTCAAAAGGAATAAAAACAAGAGTAAACTGGTCTAGCGCATTATCCCAAATAACAATATATTAAAACATAGGTAAAATTATACTCACAAACAAGTTTAGACAATTTTCATATAAATTGACAGTGACAAAGTACATGTCTCCATGAGTCAAAGTACCTGACGTCAAAGAAGTGTCATCCAAATCCCAAATGTGTCTGACGCGTTTCAAGGGTAACCCTCTTCCTTAGAGCCCCTGAGGAATCAGTTGGATCAAAGTAGAACTGGGGCAAAACATTTTTTTTTTGATAGAGCCATTTTTTTGCCATCTGTGTCCCAACAGGAAGATTTTCCTTCCCTTTATGTCCCATAGCAAAACAAGTAGAGAAAGGAAATCTCTCCAAAGTGAGGGAATCTCTGGCTGTCCTAAGGGTCATTAGAACAAGTGTTCCCATTGGAAGTTGTCCCCTATATCACTTATCTAGTGACAGCCCAAAATTTGGAATTTTATTTTACTTTCAGTGATAATGGTAAATATAATAAATAGAGAGGGTGAAACTTCCTAACAGGAACACAGACAGCAGTATAAACCCGACAGGTGTTCTAATCCATGTCCACTCTATCCAAAACTAAAAAAATCTTTGCCTTCAGTTACTTTAAAGCAAAAACAAATTCAATAATATAGGGGTGGGGGGTTTGGTGTAGTATACCACTGCTGGTAGGTAAATAGTACATTATTTTAAATAGGCTTTTACATAAGACCAAATGAGAGATAACTGAAGAGGGAAGAAGACAATAGGATTTGGTTCCATAGGAAGGACAATCCCTATAATGAGGTACAGTTGGGAACTATGCTTAATCTAATGTCCTTACTTCATTCATATATGTTAGGACAAGTTAACCAATCTAATTAACTCATCAGTATGTTTCTGGATTTAGGAAGGAATCCCAAAAAAAACACAAACAAGGGGGGATCATTTTTTATTTGCTTTGTTTTAATTTGGTAAATATATCATACAAAGCATTTTGTTATATCTGTTTAAATCCTCCAGAAATTACCTGTTGATCCAGCTAGAAGTCCAGAGGCCTTGTAACTTCCTGTTAACACTATACCTCTGCTATATCAAAATCTTAAAGAGTCTAATCAGCCCTGCCTAGCTTAGGCGTGTGAACTACAGAATACCTCCCCTCACCTCTGTAGTCCTAACACACTTCCACCTTGATCACAGAGGTGGCAAAAACAGGCACTTTAGCTGCACTTCACC